ACTCAACCATGTAAAAGTTTGGCATACCTGTGTAGCAGGTGTGTATTATGTCTGATCTGTGTAAACGGTGTGCATCATGACCCACACCATAGTAATAGGTGTCCACTGTGTTTCTTTTGTTGTTGTCTCACCTGTGGCAGCAGTTGTCCATCATGTCTCACCTGTAGTAATGATTATGCGTCATTACTCATCTATAGTAACAGACTCGCATCATGACTCCCCTGTAGCAGCAGCTGCACATTGTAACTCACCTGTAGGTGTCCATCGTGTCTCACCTGTGATGACAGGTGGCCATCATGTCTTACAGGTGTGCCTCTTGTACCACCTGTACCGAGAGGTGTGCATAATGTCTCACTAGGTGTACAATATGATTCAGTAACCAGCTGTTGTAGCTGGTGTGAATCATGTAGCCGTTGTAGTAACAGGTGTTCATGGTGTCTTACCTGTGTATCAGACATCTGTAATGTCTCACCTGTGGTAACAGGTCTTCATTATGTCTAACCTTAGTGAGAGACATATATTACACATCACCTGTAGTGATGGGTCAACATCATGTCATCTGTGTCAAAAGAAACCCAACTCAGAGGCCTCGCTAGATGGGAACAAAATATTTTATTCTTAAAGGGACTTAACGGAGTTTTGAATTTTTATGCTCGCGATCGCCCCCTCAGGCCAACAGCGTAACGGCAGCTTCAATAGTATCTTAGGTGTGTTCTTGCTGTGTCTTTCTAAATCCATGCTTTCGTTCTTTTTTAAACACAGAAACAGTTTTGTTTACCTGTTTGTAGCTACAGTTTCGCCGACCGCTGCCGGCTTCTTCAGCGTCTGTTTCTGTGTTTAAAAAAGAACGAAAGCATAGCTTCAATAGTAGCTGAGATAGTCCCTTGTGTGTGTGTGTGTGTGTGTGTGTGTGTGTGTGTGTGTGTGTGTGTGTGTGTGTGTGTGTGTGTGTGTGTGTGTGTGTGTGTGTGGCCCGGAGGACATATGACAGGAGAACGCGCAGCTAATTAATTAAATAATGTGGTTCTGTAGCTTTCTCTTCAGCACAGCCGACAAAGGTTTATGATGGGTCAGTCCTCCTGCATGCTCAGATCATTCCCTTCCCTTGCTTGAAAAATTGTTCCAAAATGAAAGTTGAACCCACATCTTTTTTATCTGTGAATTCAATGCCGTTCGGCGAGTCTCAAATAAAAATTTGGGTATCTTACTGTAAAAAATATACCATTAATGTAAAAAAGAAACTCTAAATGAATTATGTTCACATCCAGAATCAAACCCGGGTCTCCTTCACGAAAGTCCGACGTCTTACTTGGTGAGCTAAAGCACCAGTGACATCTTTTGTATCTGTAACATTTATATCGTTGATGACCGCTGAAACAACGTTCAAAGAACGGTTCGGAGGGCGATGCCTGAGCGTGAACGCGCATGAAGCAGCCTGCTCGACCCGAGCATCTCTCTTTTTCTGTGATTTTACAGAAAAACAGGCAATCACAGTAAAAATGCCAGGGCTCATTCTACAGGACCAGGGCATTGCAGGAGAATGTATGAAGAAGACATTTATTATTTCTATACATGTTTTGGCTGTCACACTTCCATAATGCCCCTTTAAGTTTTAATTTTCATAATTGTGTTCCAGAAATAGTTGAATGTTTTCAACTTGAAACAAAGACCTATTTTCATTTTAAATGTGCAATTCAGCTAGTCCAGCTGGCACTAGCCGGGTCGTCCATTGGTGCAGCAGCAGAATGAATCAGCAGTTTGTGTGGTGAGTGTGCTCTAAGCACACCCTACTGAAATACTTATAGGTATTTATACAAGGAAATAGAAACAATAGATAAACAAAATCAAGCTGAGTGGAATAAAAATACATACTTAGTACTGCTGTTCCAGAGTACTGTACCCTTAGCGTAGACGATACAAATCTAGACGGGTAAAAAATTGTGTAATTTTGTTGCTGTTAAAGGTAACACAAGATCTCTGGGGAACAGCATGATCACAATAACATAAAACCCCTGCAACGACTGAGAATATACCCAAAGCCCTTTTCAGATTGGCATTCTGGAATATGTGTGGACAGTTCAGTCCAGTTTTTAACCAGAACTGTGTTTTCAGACACCGCTTTTGTACCTGAACTTGTCCTTTTGGCTGCCTTCACACAGCAGGGAAAAGTTCCAGATGTGTGTGTGTGTGTGTGTGTGTGTGGGGGGGGGGGGGGGGGGGCGTACATGCGTCATTTACCCAAACAAAGCCATTTAGTCAAACATGGCCGATGAAGAGATAGAATTCCTCACCGATCTGACTTATGTTAAGCATAACTCTGCGCACACGAAGACGCATAAAGCTTGGTTTATGCTTGACGCGTTCACTTTCCGCGTGGTGATGCGGCTCGCGGATGGAACGCGCTTCACAACTCGCAGCGTTTATGGTTTGTGCGACTCGTCTCTGCGGTGAGCCAATATTCTCCCAAACTGTAGGGGGCAGCATGGAGCTCTACGGCATGCATCCAACACTACACCATAGTAGAAGTAGAAATTACTGTTTACAACATGGCATTCCAGCATTTTTAACAGCGTCCTCGTCTTTTCCGACAGTGCGAGCTATTTCTCTCCAAGAATTATTAACAACATGTTGATCACGGTGATCTCTGAGAGCTGAATCATACAAATGTCTGTATTTACGAACCTCTGCCATACTAGTTCTTGCCAGTCCGCCATGTTTTTCCGTGTCCGTCTGTCCGCGTGGTTAGAAATTTTCCGAGGTGCGCGTTGCGGAAATTCTGGGCCGTGCGGAGGCGCGGTGGAGGGGCGTGGTTGTTAAAATGACGCAACTTTTCCGTCCGGACCTCGCGGACGCGTCAAGCATAAACCAACCTTAAGAGACCTGGATGATGAAGCTCAATGGTTAAAGGAATCACGCAAGCGGTGTGAAGCGCTCCGTCACGCGTCTAGGAGATGGTATCGTAGGAGGCGAGCTGCCATGGTTCGCCGCATGCTACAGGAGCGAGCTATCCGGTGTATATGGAAACACCGCTCACCCTCACAGTGAGTAGGTCACGAATCTCGGAATCTGTCCAGGTGTTAGACATGTTGGAGATGCTCTGCAGAAGATGTTCGCCTTCTTTCTGCTGGGTTTTTGTGCTCAGGAGGGACATCACGCGATGTTGGCCGTGTTCGAGTTGAGCAGTGCCTCGCCTGGAAAGCAGACGAGAGCAGACGGACGCAGCAGGGGGAGGGGCTGAAAGCCGGCGTTTAAGTCGGACACATTTCCCTACATGTGTAGCTCACGAGTGACGATGGATGAAGATATCGCGTTAGAGTTCATACTTGTTTATTTTAATTCTGGTGCCTGTTAGCAGCTGAAACACATCCTCACGTGCTTGTGGATATCATATATCGTATATGGAGACCTGACTGTAATAATAAGTAAAGGTTATCAGCTGTAGCTTCAGTGTGCTCATAGGAAACGTGACAAAAGAACACAAAACACATTCCTCTTTATGGCCTATATAGTTGTCATCATCAATGTTACATGATTTAAAGAATACATGTGACCAACTAACATTTCATGTTCTACCACCGGATGTTTGGATCAGAATATGAACCAATCAGATCTTAGATCAGGTGAGAGCCAGGTGTTTCCCGTCATCCTCTAGGTTTAGCAGCCGGTGGAGAGCAACTGCAGCGCCTTGCTCCAAAATCTGCGGCCGCCTTGATCTCACGAGGTTATCGTTGCCTACGTAGACAAGTTGGACACAAAGCTAACCGGCATGCACCGCGCGCCGATCACCGCTGGTCTAATCTGTGCAGAACTGGCTCATCTCGAACACGGCCATACCTTCCCGGTCACGTGATATATACGTAATCTAGGTGTGCACAGCGCCCCCCCCCCAGTCTGGAACTCAACCTCACCAGTCTGAAGCAGTCACCCTGTCCGTGACAAGTCCGGTCCTGTTATTAGGGGCTTCGTCCGGTTTAATTACGGAAAAGGTTATCCCGATGTTTGTATTCAGACACAAAGATCTTATGGACAGAGTCCCGAACATTTCCGTTTTTCATGGACCGTCTGCAGGGGGCTACAGAACATTGGGATCTGCTCCCTAGCCACTAAGGGTAACTTTGAGTTTGGCTTAGGGAGCTAAATATGATGAGGCACAAAATAAAAGACAAAAATCAACCGTCGACCCATCGGGCTCCTGCAGTTCTTAGCAGGTTTTTACATCAAACAGCTCTTCATGATAAAACTTTCATAGGGATTTCAATAGGAAGGTTTGAACAGAGCAAGGTAATGCATTATCAGTGTTAAAGATGGTTGTGGCTTGCTTTTAGCACCCCCTAGTGTCCATTTGTAGAACCAAAAGCAAAACGTTTTTTCTCGCTGTGCGTTCGTCTTTTAACACCTTCATCTAACAGCTGAAGTGTCTCCTCAGCCTTCGTTAGTGTCTACAGGAGGGATGAATCACTAAAGTAAACAGATTAGCCGTGTTCATGATCCAAAACACGCAGGAAATGTGCTGGAAGCAGACTGCAGCGCCAGGCATGTCAGCTTCATCTTTTCTAAGTTCAACAGAGCAGACTGGCAACTCTGAAGTTGCAAGTGGGACTTTCGGGCCACAGGGGGCGATAGCGGCTGGATGGCCTTTCGTTAATTCTGTAAAGGGTCATTTTAGCGCATGCTGGCTCGAGAAAATGATTTAAAAATATGAAAAAGTTGTAAAGAGTCTGTTTAAGTCATTCATATTAGCCAATTTGTACCATTAGCCTCTATAGCTCAGGTTCATTCAATGAAGATGAGATATTTTAATGAAGGTCATCTTTAGTTGTCAAAGAGATTAAAACAGTTGAAAAACCGTTAAGGTTTTGTTTTGTATCTAACAGAAACAATCATCTAAATGAAAAGTTGGGTTTCTTTTGATGCCATGTCTCTTGTCTCAGCTTTTTCCGTCTTCTGTACGTTTTCACTCAGCGGTTCTAATGGTGGTTCTGTTTACTGGCTCATCTCAGGGTCCTCCTCAGTCTCATCCATGGTGAGTTTCAGTCGGGCATCAGAGGACACTCCGGTTCCTCCTCCTGTTCCTCCACGCAGACGACCAGAATCGGCTCCATCAGAGTCGTCCCCGTCCAAGGTACCGTTACCATGTCACTTTGTGTGTCAGTGTTCAGCTACAAGCGCTACCGTCTTCTTTACTATCATCACTTCTAACGGGGCGACCTCCCCCGCAACTCCTGATTGTCCTAAGGGTGTGTGTGTGTGTGTGTGTGTGTGTGTGTGTGTGTGTGTGCATGGATGGTTGTTTGTCCTGTGTGTCTCTGTGTTGCCCTGCAATGGACTGGCAGCCTGTCCAGGGTGTTGCTCGCCTGAAGACTGCACACACACACACACACACACACACACCCGGCAGCGCTTTAGGCCCAGGGCAGAGTCGTACACTTCAGATCGACCCACTCTAGATCATGACCTGTTATTATTGATGGTGTGTATTCTGTGCACCAGTCAGAATATCCCGATGTTCACGGACGTCCAAACCGTAGAAATCTTAATAAAATACACGTAAAATTGAAAAATGATGACTAGTCTTAAAGAATATTAATCTGTGAACACTTTTTTATATTTGAACATTCAGGCTTATTTAATCTTATTTTCCATCACCTGTGCTGTGGGTTTAGTGCATTTATTACTAGTAATAACAACGTGTATAACAGCTCACTTCAATTATCTGGGCATGGAAAGTGGAACTGAAGCTTGTTGGCAGCAGCTCACCTGTTCCTCCCACTCTGACGGGAGAAATCCTCTCATCAGCTCATTGTGTGTGTGTGTGTGTGTGTGTGTGGGTTAAGAAGCGGCGGGGCGCCGTATCAACGACGTTCCTCTCAGTTATTAATTCTATAATTTGCAGATACACGAACAGACAGAAACAGGAAATGCAGCCTAAAATGACTTTTGCCTCTCCGCTTTGGCGCCCCTGACCCTCCTGAGGGATTGTCCGTGGGAATGCTGGAGATACCCGACCAATAAGTGCTGCTTGCAGTTAGTTTGAAAACACACGAGACCCTGTTTCGTTACCATGGTTACTCCTGCCACTGACGTTTTCACCACATTTACCTTCACCGCCATCTCTCGGATGTGTCGCCGTTATTTCCTCTAACTTCCTGTTTCTCTCCTCCCTTCAGATGATGTCAAAGCTGGACAGCCCCCCCGCCGTGCCTCCTCGTCAGCCCACTTGTAAAATCTTCCCCCCTCGTTACTCTTCGTCACTGTCTTCATCATCGCCCCCCGACAGCCCCCCTCTGCTGCCTCCTCGGGAGCCACTCAGCTCCCCCCTGCACCTCCTTCCTCCCCCTCAGGGACGCTCTCGCTGTGACCTTTTATCTCAGACCTTTTTCCCCTCCACCCCCCCATCTATTAGCTCCACCACCACAGACTTGTCATCCTCTCCACCTCCCCCTCTGCCTCCACCCACCCCCCTGCCTTCTACCTCCAGGAAGTTACCCCCTCCTTCCCCCCCTCTGATCCCATCTCTGGACGGGCCCCCAGTGCCTCCGCGTCACAGCGTCCCTAAACTCCCCCCGAAAACGTACAAGAGGGAGTCTCTGAGCCACGCCACTCTGCTGGACATGCCCCCTGCTTTGTGACTAGACTCCCATTGGAGCAGGTGGCTCTTGAAAGACTAACACTACAGCTTATCGGCTCGAAACGATGCAACTGAAGGTTCGACCAATCAGGATGTTTGGATCCAGCCTGAACTGAGCTGAAATCACGTGCCCTTATTCTGAAACTGGTTCTGCAGAAGCTTTTTTTCTGCTTGAAGGTTTCGTTTGCGTTCTCTCTGTAAGGCGGGACCTGTTTGGGCCCGTCGGTACCCGGTTGGACCCAATGTTGAGCACGGACAGACAACACGTGGGTGATGTAGGTCACCGACTGAAAAGGTACGGGGCCAGAACCTCAGAGGTACTGTTTTGGTGGACCTAATGTTAGTTTGTTATTGTTGTTGATTAAGTAAACAAATGTGATTGCCATGTTTAAAAAAAAAACCTAAAAAACAAGGGAATAAACGTGTTTCTGACACCGAGCTGGAGGACAGTGTCTGTCTTCATTTGACCCTCATAAACACATATCTACGTGTTACATACATGTTAGAAGAAGAAGAAAGTATCATTTCTATAGCGCCTGTCAAGATAAAAATCCCGAGGCGCTTTACAAAAGCAAAAAATGTAAAAATATAAAAAAGCATTTATAAAATGTTTAAAAATATATTTAAAATGAGCAAAAATAGACAATTGTGATTAAAAATGTAAAGAAAGAGAGAGAGTGAACTGGAAAGAGGGAAATCAGTGGATCCTGAGGAAGGTGGAATAGGTGGGGAGAGCAGAATAAAGAGAGAGAGGTGAAGAAGGTCATACAAAAGCCAGCTTGAACAAGTGAGTCTTCAGCTGCTTTTTAAAGGAGACCACTGAGTCCACTGATCTCAGGCTCAGGGGGAGAGAGGTCCAGAGTCTGGGGGCCACAGCAGCAGATGATCTGTCACCTTTGACCTTTAGCCTGGTGCTGCACAACCAGTAGGCTTTGGTCTCTGGACCTCAGGGACCTGCTGGGGGTGTAGGGACTAAGAAGATCACCAATGTAAGATGGTGCTTGTCCATGTAAGGCCCTATAGACCAGAACCAGGATCTTGAAATGAACCCTGAAGTTGACTGGCAGCCAGTGAAGCTGGAGGAGAAGCGGGGTGATGTTAGATAATATTTATGGATTTTGAGTGATTTTGTGATTATTGATGCTCAGGAGTCATCACATCACTAACGCGAGTGGCGTGGCTTACATGTGTTATAAACGGTTGCTGGCGAGAACTGGTAGATATTTGGCCAATCAGCATTGCCGAATTGATCTTTGAGCCATCGCCCTGCTTCCTGCATGCTTCTGTCTTATGAACCCAGCAGTAAACCCATGGTCACATGATCCCATTAGCATCAAGATGGCTAAAGGCAACCTACACCTGTCCAAAACCCACACGGACAGCTGCTTAAAGCGTTCGATGTTGGGCTGCACATGGGGACAGCTGAAGGAAAGATGCAGGCCAGCAGTTTGGCATCACGATGCTGAGGTGAGCAGAAACCGCCACACGCTAGCCCGACTCCCCAACTATGTGTCTGAGGTAGTCGTGCAGCAGACAAGCCCATTCAACTCCGATGTTTCCTCAGTGCAGAGGACATCGCTATTCAATCTGATGAGACACTGGTTAGTTCTACTGTTACGTTATTGTACAACCCCTGAAAGCGCTTCACAACACAATCAGTCATTCACACATTCACACGCTGGTGAGAATAAGCTGCAATGTAGCCACAGCTGCCCTGGGGCACGCTGACAGAGGCCTGCCGAGCTACACAAACGACGTTTTAACTCTTCTCATGGATTCTGAAGATAATCTAGAGACATCCGTGCTGTGGGTGATGCTGATGAGTCACTGCAGAGCCAGAATAATGCTCTGTATGTTGCAGCATGTGGGTTATGCAACTTAAGACGAAATGAGGTGAGTGACAATCAATGGCGCCCCCAAGGGGTGGCCAGAAATTAGCTTCCCCCCTCCCCCCCCCCAGCAAAAAACGAGTGTTAATAAATCATATGAATGTTCACTCAAACCATAAACTGATCTTATTTATGCAAGACATGATTGTAAAACAAAATAAAAATAATGTAATTAATGAGTAAAGAAATAATCAGAATAAAAAAGTGCTTATATTCCTGCTGCTCACCGTTTAAAAAAGTTTTTATCTCCATATTTTTGTGAACACAGCAACAGGTGAATTAAACTAAAAAAAATACATTTCAAAATAAAATTCAAATGTTTGGATACTTCCTTTTAAAAAAAAAATAAAGGAGCATCGCCACAGGCTAAACTCTCCCAGAGTTACCACAAGGACCAATTGGGTGGTGCCACTCCAAAAATTTTGTTGGCCCTGTTTGGCCACCCCTATGAAAATTCTGGAGGCGCCCCTGGTGAGTGAACAAGGTCCACTCACCTGATGGATCATCTCCAGACTCAGGTGGGTGCAGGACCACCAGACTGAGAAATGCGTTTGTTCCTGCAGTGACTTTTCAAGGACCTGATGTAGCGTGATAGTTTATTTATTTTTGTTGCCTTTGGAGAGAAGAACTTCAAATTACGCTTAAAAAGTAAAGCGGTGGCCACAAGTCCAGCTGCAGTTGATCCACTGTAATGAGAGTCAGACGCCAGCAGAGGGCAGAAAACTTCTCCAGACTCAGGACTGGGCAGCTCCTGCTGTTGAATGGAGACTGTTGTTCACTGGGGGGGGGGGGGGGGGGGGGTGTCATGGGATCTTGTCTGCATGTCATGAGACAGAAGGGAAGCATCTGGACCACAGAAGAAGAAAACATGGAGAACTTGTTTCGCAGCATAAGGGAAGCTGGACACCAGCTAAGCGGGTGCTGCTGTGGTGAGGAAGAGGAGGACGAGGAGGTGAAAGAGAAGAGGAAGGAGGATGAGGGTAATGATGATGAGGATGATGAGAATCTACAAAGCAGCAGAAGCTGGATGTCCCTCCCTTCTCCTGAGGTACCGGTTAAACTTGATGCGTGTTTGGCTCCAGGACGCGATGGCGGCAAAGCTTCCTCCGGTTCTGTTCTGCTGACCCAGCCATTGTCCGTGTCCTACAGGTGGATCAGAACCAGACCAGCTCTTCCAGCTCTGGGACTCCGCTTCACTGGTTCCACACTCTGCAGGCCCAGCGGTCCAGAGTGCAGCGAGGACGCAGCAACAGTGACCCTCTGAGAGCAACAGCTGTCCAGAATCTCTTCACCTGGGTCAGACGATGGGTCACATGATGTGTGAAGTGTTGAGCATGTGACCTAAAACTCCTGATCTGACGTGTAACGTGCTGTGTTCAGAAAGCGGGTCTGGAGTTTGGAGCTGCCCAGTCCTACCTGAGTCTGGAGAAGTTGGGAGAGGGGGTGTTTGCTTCTGTATATAAAGGCATCAGCAGGTCAGAGATGCCCCTCCGGGCCACCGTAGACGGGCTATCAGCATTTCCTTACATGTGTGTTTTTTATTACTGAGCCTTAAATGTAAAGTTTCTTCTGTGGAGGATAAATGGGCAGCTGGTGGCTCTGAAGGTGATTCGAATGAAGACAGAAGAGGGAGTTCCTTTTACCGCCATCAGAGAAGGTGACCAATCAGATTGCTCTCTCGCCCTCCTGAGTGCATCAACCTCTGCCCTGACACCTGTGTGTGTGTGTGTGTGTGTTCACAGCCTCTCTGCTCAAACGCCTAAAACATGCCAACATTGTCCTGCTGCATGACATCATCCACACCAGAGAGACACTCACCCTGGTCTTCGAGTACGTGGTAAGCACAACCGCTGATAACTGTGTTAATTTATATACTTGTTGACCTGAAGGGGGCGCTACTGATAAATCCATCTGTCATTTTTATGGAATCAGAAATCACCAGTTCTGCAGAAGAGGGGAAGTATGCAGAGCATGCATAGATTAAAAACCAGGATGTGGTTTCAGGGTTGTTCCCAACTGGGTCAAAGGCAAGTGGCGATGTAACAACAGAAAAGAAAAGTCATGCAGAGAGACTGGATATCTGTTGTGGAGTCCCACAGGGGTCAGGCTTGGGTACCACGCTATTTCTGTTGCACATCAATGGCTTGTTTCAGGTTTCCAGCACGCTAAGACGTGTTTTAATGGCAGATGATCATTTTTGGGATATTTAGATCTGGTTACAGCACAAATTAAAATTAATAATAAATTTGAGTAAAGGATATCATGCGTTTTGGAAACTGTAAAATAAAGTGACGCTAACACTAAATAATGGGGAATGAAAACACGAACATCCAAGGATCCTTCTTGAAACTACAAACGTTAAAGTTTAGAGACTTGATAGAATTTAGGATAACATTATTTATGTAGAAATTCAAAATAAAAAACACTTAAAGAGCAAGTCACCCCCTACCAGATTCTTACTCCACTCCCACTTCCTGTTTGAAAAATGCAACAAATGTTGTTGCCTAGCAGACCGAGAGGCGGAGCCACTAACAAATACACACACACAGGCTCACAACGACATTGTGACATCATATGGTACCAGCTAACGTTCTAGGGTAGCTCTTAGCCAATAGCGATGGCAGATTTAAATTCAAATGCAGTGCAGAGTTTTTACCTGACAACGGCACAACACTGACAGTTTTAGGCAGAAAATTAAAATTTTAACTAAAATGCACTAAAGTGCAAAACTATTGACTACACGTGTCTGCAGCACGATTAGACACGCGTTTATATAGTTTATCAGCAAATAAAGTTGATTTGTGGGTGACTTGCTCTTTAAAGACTTAAAATTAAAAGACTGTAAACAAAAATAATCGTCGTCGTCTTCCTCCGCTTATCCGGGTCCGGGTCGCGGGGGCAGCATCCCAACTAGGGAGCTCCAGGCCGTCCTCTCCCCGGCCTTGTCCACCAGCTCCTCCGGCAGGACCCCAAGGCGTTCCCGGACCAGATTGGAGATGTAACCTCTCCAACGTGTCCTGGGTCGACCCGGGGGCCTTCTGCCAGCAGGACATGCCCGAAACACCTCCCCAGGGAGGCGTCCAGGAGGCATCCTGACCAGATGCCCAAACCACCTCAACTGGCTCCTTTCGATCCGGAGGAGCAGCGGTTCTACTCCGAGTCCCTCCCGAATGTCCGAGCTCCTCACCCTATCTCTAAGGCTGAGCCCGGCCACCCTACGGAGGAAACTCATTTCGGCCGCTTGTATCCGCGATCTCGTTCTTTCGGTCATTACCCAAAGCTCATGACCATAGGTGAGGATTGGGACGTAGATCGACCGGTAAATCGAGAGCCTGGCTTTCTGGCTCAGCTCCCTCTTCACCACGACAGATCGGCTCAGCGCCCGCATCACTGCAGACGCCGAACCAATCCGCCTGTCGATCTCCCGATCCCTCCTACCCTCACTCGTGAACAAGACCCCGAGATACTTAAACTCCTCCACTTGAGGTAGGACCTCTCTCCCGACCCGGAGGTGGCAAGCCACCCTTTTCCAGTCGAAAAAAAAAAATAAAAAATAATTTTTTTTTAATTTGTGGATATGGTTTTTTGAGGAAAGATGACACAGGTGAACATGGCATACCGTTTTGTCTCTCAGTCATTTACTTGTTTATTTCTTTTACTTTTAATATGTTTTTTTTTTGGAACATAAGTTCATTTGACAGAGAGACACTGTTGACTTAATGGGATCAGGAATCTGTGGATCCTCTTGTGCCGAGAGCCCGTCTGGGTAGGAATGCTGACGCATATCACACAAACTTTTCTGATTTAGTTTGCATCCTTGCTGTAGCAGACAGACCTGGCCCAGTACATGACCCAGCACCCTGGAGGTCTGCACTCTCACAACGTACGGGTATGTGCTCACCACAGAGGGTTCTGCTGGGACCGCTCCGCCTACAGCTTGGACTGAACTTAACATTCTGCTGCAGATCTTCATGTTCCAGCTGCTGCGAGCTCTTAGCTACATTCACGGACGCAGGATCCTGCACCGAGACCTGAAGCCTCACAATTTACTCATCAGCTACTTGGGAGAGCTTAAACTAGCTGACTTTGGTGAGAAGTGCACCCTGCAGGTGGATTCTTGCATTATGCCCCTACACTTAAAGGTGCAATATTTAGGAATGCCTCATGTCTCAGTCAGGTCAGACGGAAGGTTTTCCTGATACAGATTCCCCTCTCAGCCGTGTGGAGGGTTGTCAGTTTTTCTTCTTTTGAAAATAAACAGACGAGGGATGTAATTACCGTTCACACGACGTTTGTTAGGTTGCCGAATAACGCTGCGGCAAAGGCATTTCTAATTTGACACCAGCAGGCAAAAAGCTCCCAAAGCCAGTAAACGGGAGCGACCCAGAAGTTATTTCTTGTACCCCTAAGAAGCCACAGCATCTTTTCGTTTTACAACAATCAAGTAAAGCAGGCTAGAGGCTAACACTGAGCTAACAGTGCTAACTGTGAATTAGAAGAAAATAGTAGGTTTGAAAAAACTGATTTTCAAGAAAATGAAAAAAAGGCTTGTTTTCTGTCAGTTTGCCCGGGGCTGCTGTGGCTACTGTGTGGCTCATCACCACCAGGGTGTGAATGGGTGAATGACTGATTGTTTTGTAAAGTGCCTTGGGGGGTTTTAGGACTCCAAGGCGCTATATCAAATACAGGCTATTTACTATATGCTGCAAATGATTTTAGACTACAAGAAAATGTTCTTATCTGCTAGGATAACTTGAAAAAAGGAAAATATTCTTAAATATGACCAAATTTTCTTGTTTTGAGTAAAAAAAACTTCCAATGGGGTCAAAAAAGTTGCTTAGCTGGAATTTTCAAAACTAGAAAAAATGTAACGGACTATTTTCCTAGTCTTAATAACTCTAGGCATAATCTCGTCTAAAAACGAAACTTTTTTACTTTTTAAAAATTCGTTTTTGCAGTGCTCTAAGAAAATACGTCACACTCTCCTAAAGATACGTCCTATTTTATACCATCAAGCACGTTACATCAGTGAACCCTTAGAGCAGGGCACCAAAAAAGCCTTTAATCAGATGTGAAGCCGCCTTGGCATCTCCAGAACAGTTCATTGGTTCTTGTTCAGGTCTGGCTCGATCCAAGTCCATTCCCAGTCAGACCTTCTCCTCAGCGGTGGTGACGCTGTGGTATCGACCGCCTGATGTCCTGCTGGGGTCCACAGATTACTCCACGGCCCTGGACATGTGGTCAGTGCTGTTCTCCGACACAGTTAGGCTGCTGAGCAGAAACGCTTGTGGTTATCAATAAAGTTTGCTATGTTTGAATCAGGGGGGCAGGCTGCATCTTCATAGAGATGCTGCAGGGGTCACCAGCATTTGCAGGTGGTACCGATGAGCTGGAACAGCTGCAGATCATCTGGAAGGTTAGTTCACCGCCCAGTGTGATGCTGTGTGTTAATATTCTGTGTGGATGCTAACAAAAGCCCATTTAACTCAAACTGTGTCAAATATAAATAATGTGTTTTCTGAGGAAGACACTCTGAGCAATTATGAGGCAACAAAACATCCAAAAGAACCAGAAATAGAACCTGGACAGTGGGTTTACATCATCTGTTACCATGGTGACAGAGCCAGATATTACTGAACTGACTCTGAAACCGAATGTCGTGGTCTGGTCTCGATCCAGCTACTCTGGAACTTGTGCATCCCCAGTTTTTCATGTTAAACCTTTTCAGTTTGTTCAGAATGTTGTGAACAACTTTAGTGACGGTTCCACATATGTGGCCTCCTGCAGGTTCTCGGTGTCCCATCTGAGGACAACTGGCCTGGAGTCAGTCTGCTCCCCAACTACAGACCAGGTACTGTAAGAAATCATATGTAGGGGGGGGGGGGGGGGGGGGGGGGGGAGTTCCAGAGTGGGGGCCACAGCAGCCAGGGACCTGCTGGGGGTGTGGGGACTGCGAGGAGAGGAGAAACAGCAGTTTCAACTATGATTTGGAGAATTATTTACCTGTTTTCAGCTGGACAAATAAAAAGTCCCAAAGGGCCGTATTATCACTGGTTCGCTCATACATCATGGACAAGCACCATCATACACTGGTGATCTTCTCAGTCCCTACACCCCCAGCAGGTCCCTGAGGCCTTTACAATGTTCATTATGTCCTCTTTTTTAATATTAAATGAGGTTCTTCTCGCTTCAGACATGAAGGTGTTTCGAATCACCTCGACATGTTTCGACCGTCGTCTGCGGTCTTCATCAGAAATGTCACAGATGTTTGCTTGACACTTCTTTATCAGCTGTTCTTCTGGTGGGCGCGACCAACCCTGATCTGTCAGATCTACCTGGGTCGGTCACGCCCACCTCCGCTGGCTGGTCTTTGGAGAAGGGAATCCCAGGTGCGAGGCAGCTGATAGGTCCCCTCACAAGGGCAACAAAGAAACAAGCAGAGGAGCAAACCCTCAAGTCAGCCATCTCAGATCATTGCAAACGAAATAGTCACACTATGGACTGGGATCAAGGGAAAATCATCAACACGGAGAACAACTGGTTCAAACGCTGGGTCAGGAAGGCAATAGAAATGAGGAAGCGTGAGCATTGGAACATGTACAGAGACGAGGGGCTCTGAAAATCGGCCTCTTCGTTTCCTTCCCCCAGAGGCTTGCAGTAGATTCCCCCAGGAACGGAGCACCCCCAGCGGGGACGAGCAGCTCAAGAAATGCACGGAGTTCCACGTTGTCAACATCCGTCCAGTTGTCATACTTTCTCCTCCCCTCTATATTAGTGTGTTTACTTATTATATCGAGGATTGTTCTTGTTAAAAAAAATCGAAGCTGTCCACGAAGCGGGGGATCCCTCGACGGTGGAAGTGTGAGGCCGAAAGAGAATCCTGATGTCAGGTGTTGATCTGCGTTCAAACTTCTTCTCATGCTTGCGGCAGAAAGAAATTAATCCGGATCTGAGTCTCATATGTACTTGTAGTCAATTGGTGCACCTGTGTAAACTGACCCCAACTCCATGTAAACAAACTCAGCTCTACAGGAATTTGTTTTGCAAAACAAATGTACGCCTTTGAAGTTTTTCAGCCTTCATCTTAATTTTCATCCATACCATACCATACCATACCATACCATACCATACCATACCATACCACACCATACCATACCATAGCATACCATAGCATACCATACCACACCATACCATACCACACCATACCATACCATACCATACCATACCATACCATACCATACCATACCACACCATACCATACCATAGCATACCATAGCATACCATACCACACCATACCATACCATACCATACCATACCATACCATACCATACCACACCATACCATACCATACCATACCATACCATACCATACCATACCATACCATACCACACCACACCATACCATACCATAGCATACCATAGCATACCATACCATACCATACCATACCACACCATACCATACCATACCATACCATACCACACCATACCATACCATACCATACCACACCATACCATACCATAGCATACCATAGCATACCATACCATACCATACCATACCATACCATACCATACCATACCACACCATACCATACCATACCATACCATACCACACCATACCATACCATACCATACCATACCATACCACACCATACCATACCATACCATACCATACCACACCACACCATACCATACCATACCATACCATACCATACCATACCACACCATACCATACCATAGCATACCATAGCATACCATACCACACCATACCATACCATACCATACCATACCATACCATACCACATCATACCATACCATAGCATACCATAGCATAGCATACCACACCATACCATACCATACCATACCATACCATACCATACCATACCATACCATACCATACCATACCATACCATAGCATACCATACCACACCATACCATACCATACCATACCATACCACATCATACCATACCATAGCATACCATAGCATACCATACCACACCATACCATACCATACCATACCATACCATACCATACCATCTTTATTTATAAAGCACATTTAAAAACGGCATGGCAGCCGACCAAAGTGCTGTACAGAATAAAAAGTAAAAACACAATATAAAACAATACACAGTCAACAATAAAATGCACAACAAGGCAGATAATTACAGTTAATAAAAAGACACATAATAAAATAATAAATGTCAGGGATTTAAAAATGCCTGGTCGTAAAAGTGAGCCTTCAGCAGCGATTTGAACCGGAGGAGGGATCCATGTAAATGCTTTGTGCTTGTTGAAATAACAATTTGCAAAAGTAAAATTATGAGTGAGTATCTGAAATTTTGCAGAAAATCCTTTGTTTTTTTACATAAAAGCATGCCTTTGATGAATATTCATGATGTCAACAGTGTGCATGAGAACCCCCCCCCCCCCACACACACACACACACACTCCCCTTGCCCACACCTGCACAAAGATTTGTCTTTTGAAGATTTGTAAAGTGCTTTGATCCCTGCATGCATGCATGCCTGCACAAGCACACACAGAGTGACACATGTCAAAATGCCATTTTGACAATGAGCAGTTTTTCTACTTTCAGTAAAAGCTTATTTTTTTAAGGCACACTGTAAAAACACAATTACCAAAAATTCAGAACACACACATGCAAACCATTGTATGGAATCTCTAAATAACACACAAACCATTTTTTTTGCAAAATATGTATTATAATGGACGGTCAGAGGTAAAAAAAATACAGCAGAATCATTTAAATCAAATGCAGTGTCAGTCATTGCCCTGACTTGTGTGGAGAAAATATGCCATCTAGTGGAAAATGGTAAAAACTAAACATTGAATGTGCAACTGGTCTGGGAACACAGACAGAATAATATGTAGGAGCCATTTCTTTTGTGGGTTGGGCTTTCTTCTGTGGTGGTGGTGGTGTCGGGTGCGTCACACGTGATTTAAGTCAGGTGTTTCGGCAGAGCCGATTACGCATGGGTGGCAGGATGAGCATACGGTTTTTACCGCTCGCGACACCATGGCACGATATATTTCTTTTTTGTGACGATCAACTGGGGCACTACTATCCTTGGAACCGCATCATGTAGAACACCAGCTAATGCTTGTACAAGAAAATAAACAAGAGTAACGCACAGACAAAAAGAGGTTTGATTTATGAATAGAAGCGCGTCAGAAGCCGCCTCCGCCCTCACCCAGCTGGCTGACAACAGGAAGTGTCAGCACATAATATATTTTAAAAATCATGCTAATATTTGCTTATTATAAAAATATGATCTACATAGAAGTCAATGGTGCAAAAAAATGCAGAAAGATCTTAACGCCACAAAAAAATTCTGCGTTACCGCAGCAAATTCCTAATGTTGTGACTTGGCACACATATGGCAATAAAAACTTCTGATTCTGATTCTGATTCGTTATAATAAAGGGAGTTGAAGATTTTTCTAACTATTTTTAGTAATTCCTTCAAAAATACACATCCTCCCCAAAAATTAGATAAATTGCATCAACATAGCCAAAGTTATTCACAGAAATACACGTGTCAGCACAAAAAATGCTTTAATGTTGGGTAAGGGATACATACTGTATACGGTAACAATTGTAGTTGGAAATCCATGCTGGTCTTCCTACATTGTCTTACAACAAGGTCTCAGAATGAGATTGTGATTTATTTTTTATTTTTTTACTGTAACTTTGTGACAAACTCTACTTCCTGTTAAAAAACACAATAAAAATGTAGAATTCCTGTAAAAACCAACAAGTCTGAAACTGGACTCCGGTGTTCACACCTTCACCCTGAGGACCAGAGCTCACAGACACCACGAGTCTTCTTCAAATTTCTAACATCCCATAATGCATGCATCCAAACTGTAGAATAAAATGTGCCAGTCTGCTGTTAACTAGCATACTAGCATGTGAAACGCGTGTCTGTTTGCAGAGCAGATTCTTCACTCGGAGCCGAAGCAGTTTAGGAATGTTTGGAAAAGGTGAGTGAATGTTTGCAGTATTATGATAGAGATGTGTAGTTTTAAACGTATTTTACTTTATAGATGCACAAAGCATGCAACTTCCTGTTGTTTTGCACACCAGGTTGGATCAGCTGCCTTCTAAAACTGAAGATCTAGTCCAGAAGATGTTGAAGGTGGTTCCAATGATGCGGGTCTCGGCTCAGGAGGCTTTACAGCACCTGTATTTCAGTACACTTCCTGCTCCCATCATGCACCTCCGAGACAGTAAGAACACAAATGTATGCTACTGATAACGCTGTTTGCAACTTGCTAAAAGTGCTCAACGGTATATTCTTGTTAGAGGCATTCTTTGATTGAGCAACTGATCCGAGCAGCGAGTGTTCCTTATTTGGAGGCATGAAGAATCCTGTAGGACGATAAGCAAAGCTTGGACCTTGAGGAGAGAACATCATTGTTGACATTTCGTTATCACGTGTTCAGAGCTGCAGAGAGGCTCTGAGCTCTGGCTGGTGGGATGAAGGCGGGCTGATTTAAAGGGGACACGTGCCGTCTCGTGTCTCCATTTTGACCAGATGTTGAATGGTCAAACTGTACCTAAAATCTGACCATTGCTGGACGTTACACAGCCTACTGGAGTACTCTCGGCCCACCACCCTGTTTTATAGATAAATGGGTCCCTGGCTTTGTACAAGTTCAGAGATGTAAAAAATCAGACAAAAACCTTTTAGAGCTGCTTCACTAAAGTCTTTAATCTGTTTTTATTATTTTTCAGCTGTGTCCATCTTCAAAGTGCCTGGCGTGTGTCTGGCAACAGAGTTTAAGGACATCTTCAACCCTGGAAGACAAGTCAAACCCTCCCTGCTTCCCGCCACAAAACAATGGTGATCCAGTCAGGCTGGAGAATCAACATCAGAGGGGTCAACCATAGCCAGCAGTAACTGAAACAGCCATCCAACATCAAAGTCAAGGTTTCAGACTCATGAGGATCTAACCCCAAACAACCAAGTGGCCTGCAGAGGAGAGAAGTAAAGGAAGGAAAAGCTTCTTACCTCAGCGGCGAGAGAGCCTTCATCCATGGGCAAAGAATTTGTCCTGTTGGACAGAATTCAAGGACCAAGGACAGCTGGGTGTTCAGAACAGTTCCTCATGGTGCTTTAGTCGACGTGTTTCTCCTTAACGGGGCGTTATTATTGCGTTAAAGGTCTAGAAATTCTTCTAACAGGTCTAGTGTTAAAATAAGACCAAATACAAATAAACACAACTTGTGAACTTAAAATTAGTATTTTTTTTTTTGCACTGCTGCCACCTTGTGACTAAAGACTTGTTAATCGTCATGATAAATGGCACTATAATTTCAGGGTTCTCCTTATTAGATCTGATAGAATATAGAGATCTTACACCCACTGATAGTTTCGTTCTTTTTATTGATTTCTATAAAGCTTTTGGAATGATTTCCATAATGTAAATTAAACTCTAGAAATAAACGAGCAGGTATGCTGCATGCCTCGGGTGTTCCATCATGGCTGATCTACAGTGGGAAAAGGTAGATGGTTGTTCATAAGTAGTGTACCCTCCTAAGGCCCTGTGTCCTCATATGTGGACGTTGACTTTTCGCACAATATTTTATTCTCTTCAACTTAGACCTTTTATTTTTTATTATTTAGAGACACTTGACATTGACGTTATGTTAAATATTTTTGTACATTTTTCTTTCTTTTTTTCAGAAGTGAGTCAAAAACTGTATTTAAAATTTTTTAGTAATTTTTTTGTTCACATTTGAGAGTCGACTAAATGTCTAGAGATGTTTTTTTCTTTTAAATCACATCAAATATCATAATGAATACAATCAATAAATACATGTGGGTCTCAGAAGGTTAAAGATTTATCACCAAATTTGATCTAAGGAAAAATTGATGATACCTGGTATTTTTTTTATTCATCCGTTTTCCATTGAGCTTATTACCAAACAAGTCTGATCAGACACGGAAGGCTTCCTGTTCACGTGAGAATAAGGATTTAGAATATTTGATAATATTCTGTTAATACACGTTTTTTATACATTCCAGTAAATTCTATATTAAACTAACCCACCAAACTGGACTAGCGGAAATCCGTGACTGACTAGTCACCGAGACTGCGCTGGGAAGGCAGTTATTTCCGGTCAGGATTTCAAAATAAAGATTTTAAAATTTTCATTCAAAATGATCTGATAAAACCATCAAGCATTTAAGTGCTTCAAACCTATAGTGAATGGAGTATAGAGACCGCTTATGTTCTATTTAAATAACGGTTGCTGTTTTCGGCAGCTCTCAACGGAAGCTGTCTACGGAAGTGCTCAGAACTTTAAAGGCGGATGCGGAACTATTCTTGATTTGTCATGTTTCTTTCGGAAAGAAACACACAAACAAGCACCTGCGTTTCGCGGGCTGTGTCGAGCACAAGCTAGGACCTTCTGTTTTCATCTGACCGTGATGCAGCGCGGGTGGCTTCATTCAGGTCCGCTGCTGTGGCTCCAATACGTGGACAAAAACGTGAAGTTAAAGGTGGGAAAACACGAGGAGCACCGCGGCTGGCTGCTGACCGTAGACCCGGTGTCCGCCAGGTAAAAATACTCCTGTCAGACGGTTGTGCTGATCTGATTTCTCGTTGTGGGAGTCAGATCAAACCTTCAGCTTGATGCACAAAAATAAATTGAAGCAGTTGGATCCATGTACAAAGTGTAAATTCTTGATTTATTGTAATTTGGCTGCAGGCGACAGGTAAGTGCGGTAAAGCCAGCCTCCACTCCACGATTGATGGTAAAGTCAAGTGAGTCCTCACTCGATTTTGCAAGGCGCACGCGTTCAAAGCTTTACGGTAATTAGGTTATTGCAGTTCACGAACGTTTTCAAAATAAAAGCCAGTCTCTGAATTGAATATTTCGGAAGAACGATTCTATGCGGGGCTGGTTGCCCCTGGGTTGCTGGGTTATGGGCTCGGCCGGCTTGGGGGTGGGAGTCTGCAGGCGGGCTTGTGGGCTTTCTTAACATTTTGTTTGTTAATCACAATTGTCTATTTAGTGCTCATTTAAAATAAAATTGTAATCATTTCCTAAATTCTTTTTATGTTTTTACAGTTTTTGTTTTTGTGAAGCGCTTCGTGATTTTTATCTTGAGAGGAGCTATATTTCTCTTCTTGCTGCTGATACCTCCCGGGACTCTGCCGGCTACTGTTTGGGAACCCCCCCCCCCGATCTCTGGGACTTGGAGCTCCCTCCATCTCCTACACATCTTTGGGGGGCAGATCTGTGGCCCCTCACACTCTATTGGACGCTCCTATAGAGAAACCTTACATAAACAAGCGTGTGTACACACACACAGGTGCTCACATGGTGCTCATAAGTATGGACTTGGGCATTTTCAACACGTCTTAAGGCTGTGGTTGGCACTTAATGCACTGCGATTTATTATCGTGTGATTGTTCAGTTAAACAATGTTGATTTTATATTTCCTCATCAAGTTGACGCAGTGATAGCTTGCTCCTGTTGTGTGTCCCTTTTTTTGTTTGTTTTTCGATTCTTGCTCATCGATTGTTTATTTTTGTGGAACTCCCCCCCCCCCCCCCCCCCCCCTTCCTTTCTCTTTCACCTCTGTCTCCGTGTCTGGTCGGAATTACAAAGCATTCAAAAACAATAACAATAAAGTTTTAAGTATCAGGCGTGACATTAAAAGCAGACGCTTTGATGCTCCACCTGAGAGTAAATCTGTAAGGCTTGTCACCAGCATTCAGACATCAATTCTGTTTGCTTCACAGCCAGACAGGACACGAAAGAAAACAATCAAAAACTGTAATCCAGAAGTAATCAACTAATATTTTATCTCCATTTTTACTGGCATTTCCAAATAAAAAGCATATTGAAAAAGCTTGTCAGTGCCCTGGCGTTAATGTAGTTCTAGACAAACAAAGGTTTAAAACATAATCTTCTTGGTGACTGAATTTAAATTCATTAAGAAAAATACAAAGAACCGTTTTGTTGCACCGATTGCTTTAGGCACCATCTGGTGGGGCCCAGCCCCACTCGCCCCAAATGCAGAGAGGTCATTGGTGGTTCTGCTTCTTAAGGCTGTCTACTTGGTCTAGATCTGATGTGGATCTTATTTGTCTTCACAGCGTGGTCTTGGTGAACTTCAGGGAGGATGGAGCATCCGTTCGTGTGGTGATGGGCCATGCAGTGGAAGATGTGGAAGTTCTGCAGGAGTCGGATCCAGAGACAGCAGAGCGCCTCCGCCTCTTCCTCCTTCCTCCTACAACCTCCAGTCTGGACCCGGAGGAGCTTAGCAGGAGGAGGATGGGGGTCTACAGGTGGCTAGAAAAGAACCGGGTCCCTGTAGAAGAGGATGGTGACAGTCTTAGGGTGGCAGGGGCTCTAACCATTTTGGCTCCGTACAGACCCGAGGACTGCTGCAGCTCAAACCAGATCATCCTGGACCGCATCCAAAGACTGATCCAGTCCCAGCCACACCTTCTTAAAGTCGATCCAGGTTTCGACTCAATCCAAATACTTCCAGGTTTTTCTGGATCTCAGGAACTTTGATTGACGTCCCATTTGTCCCTGAAGCTCTGCTCACCTTCAAATCATGAAATGTTCTTGAAATTGTTTAAGAATTAAAACAAGTTTGCAATTAAAAGCTGAACAATATCAGTGTTACCAGTTGGCTCTTTAGGGGATCCCAGGGTAACTGGGTAACTAAAGAAAGAATGTAGGGCAACAGGGTTATCCATTCCTGGTTGTGGAGGGCCTCTATCTCCATCAGCTCTTCAACACCTGATTCAATGACTGAATTGGTCTTTAGCCAGTCCTCACATTGTTTAGAAGTCTGTTAATAACCCACTGATTATAGGTGTTAGGTTAGGGTTAGTTGATGAGTAACCATACCAGTTCTGATCGGGTTCATCAATGTGCTCTACAGTCTAGACCACATTGGATCATTTCTGTTGAGGAGCTCTAGACCAGGTCGAATCAGGCTTAATGATTAGTTCTACACAAGTTCCCATCAGGTCAACTGATTACCTGTAGACATGTTCTGACCAGGTCTATGGAGTAGATCTGGACCAGGTCTTGACTTGTTTCTAGCTCCGGAAACCTTCTGATCAGGTCCGTAATTTTGCTCAGTTCCAGATAAAACCAGGTCTGGTGTTCCAGCAGGTCTCTTTAGGACAAATCCAGTCATTTATATTATTACGTGTCAGTTAACTTTGATCAATTTAAACAGGAAATTCAGTCTGCGGATTGGTCAGACTGCCTGGGGGAGGGGCTACCAACACCTTCAACTGAAATTAATTAAATAGACCTTTTTCACAAAACCTGGAAGTGTGTCATCGACGGGGGATCTCCGTTTCTAACTAGTTCAGATTTCAGTCGGCATGGATCGTTTCTACACTACAAGCCTTTTACATTTGCCCAATATAAACACTGAAAACCACAGAAGACACGGCAAAAGGAGGCGGGGCTGGGATGCAGAGCTGCCACCCATGAGAAATAAATAAATTACATTGATATTACATGATATGATGATAAATGACCCACACTTGTATAGCGCCTCTCAGAGGAAGGACTCCAAAGCGCTTTACACTACAGTGCATCATTCATCCATTCACACACACTGATGGTGATGAGCTGTGATGTAGCCACAGCTGCCCTGGGGCGCAGTGACGGAGGCGAGGCTGCCGAGCACAGGCGCCACCGGTCCCTCCGACCACCACCAGCAGGCAAGGTGGGTTAAGTGTCTTGCCCAAGGACACAACAGCAGAATTCTCTGTCCGGAGCCGGGATCGAACCTGCAACCTTCCGATTACTGGACAACCCGCTCGACCTGTTAAGCTACTTCTGACAATATAATTTTTTTGTTCTTACAATAAAAAAGTTCACTGTGAAAATATGTGTTCTAACAACATACACACGTATAATAATGAATATCTAATAAAATACATAATTATATTGTACAAATGGGATAAATATCTGTTGATGAACGTGGCGTCTCTGATTTTATTTTGCATGGTGGGAGCTCTTAGCTAACTATGAGTTCAGCACCAGTTACTTGTCATGAACACAGAGTTTGCTTAGCACAACAATTTACCTGCGAGGCTAACAGGCTAACATGGCATTATGTTGCCTTCTTTGCGTTCTCTTGCAAAGAAGGCAAGAATCAGCCTTATACGCCGCAGTATCGCTGCAATAACGAATGTTTTCCCTGCCTATGACATATTTCTGGTTAAAAACCCAGGAAGTGTGAAAAAGGTCTTTATCTTGTTCTCATAGAAACTGGCTAATCTTTGTTTTTTTCTAAAATAAAATTGGCCACTGAGTTTCCTATGGATGCTGAACATTAACGTTTGCTTCAACCTCCATCTCCTGCATCAGCTACTTAAAACAAAGAAACAAGTGCATCAGAAAAAGATGGTCTCCTACGTCACAGGGAAAATTTGTATTCATGGCCCCGCCCACCCGGGCTTGTGGCCGCCCACAGGAAGAAGAGAGCAGAACATGTCTCAACCATAGATGTGTACATAAACCCGTGTTTATATACATATCTATGGTCTCAACTAGCAGGAGCTAACCATTAGCACTAGCAACTCCACAACATGGTGGAACACATTCAGGCTTGTGTTATTACTGGAGATAAAACGTCAACGTTGCCTTTTTACTCAAGAAAGAATGAAGGCCGTGGATGAGTCATCATGTTGCTGTTAGCCAATCAGAGGTGAGATGTTTGCTTATCTCGAATATAAGACTTGCAAGACTGCCGGTGAAGGTACAGGATTTGCTCGGGTGCAAGATCGGCTCGGGATCCTTCGACTGCCAATGACGTCAAAGTACGGCAAACCCTCTCGGACAAAATACAGCTTTGTTATTAAAATAATGTTTCTTAAGACGTAAGTTTGTGTTTATAATGGTATTTGTGAAATAAAACATTATATTGTATTCATAATGTTGAACTCCTCTTTGAGCACATCCCTTGAAGGATCATAGGTATTAGCAACACCTGTGAGATTGAATTTGCAGGAAAGAAGTGTGTCCCGTTTATTGAAGTATTTTGTGTTTAGAGTTTTTGACGTCTTGTCCATGCGTAGTTCAGTTACGCTCATAGCTGCTAGCCAAAACTCTGGAGTTAAAAGTTTTCTGGCTTTACTAAAATACCTGTCTGTACTTATTTGATTGATGGTAGTTTTACTTTCTATTAGACTCCAAATGTAATCATTTGGCACGTTCCTAATTCATAATTTGTAAGAATGGTAATCAGTGATATTAGCATTAGCATTCCTATGGGTTTTTCCATGTATATTAGCATTGCGCTAACCACTCGCTGCCAAATTGCAGCCTTTGCGATTGGAAAATCTCCTTTTGTCACATCGCAATTTAATTGCACATGCAGTTAATCGTTCAGCCTTAACATACATGCAGCTCTGTGCTAAAAGTGTATTTTCAAAGAGGTAATGATGGATTTCTTCGTAAAAGTTGTCCATCTTTCCAACAGAAAAATTTGCCTGGACCAACGTAACGTGATGACGTAATTTCCGTAAGATTCAAGTAACTAATTTGACGTCATCGGCAGTCGAAGGACCCTGAGCCGATCTTGCACCCGAGCACATCCTGTACCGACACCGCCCCCCTCACTTCCACTTCTCCAACAAACTTCTACCCCCAACAGCTACGCGACTCCACCACTGACTGCGTTTGCTCTGCAAAGTTGATGTTTTATCTCCACAAATAACACAAGCCTGGAGGAGCTCTGCCATGTTGTGGAGTTGCTAATGGTTAGCTTCTACTAGTCGATGTTCTTTGCTGTTTCCTGGACGCTAAACCAACAACAGCCTTCCCATCGCACAACACACGGCGACATCTAGACAAAGTATAACAGTTATCTGGGTTCGTGTGAACATCAGCTGGTGGAGAGTAAAGTTGTACTTGAGGCAGGAGCTGAAGCTCTGACAGTCATTGGCTTTTATCCAAGCATCAGAGCTGTAATGTGTCATTTTCTCCCAGTCAGACCAGCATCAACAGGTTTGACACAAGAACCAGAAGTCCAGCTCCCTGTTTTTAAACTAAGATGTCCTTGATAAAAGAAAATCTGACAAAAATCCAGTTTCAGAATTGTCTTCAGCTGGGACATATTTATCAAGGTGGCTCCGTTCCTGTAGACCAGCACAAGCAGAGTGTTTACCAGTTAGACCAGCGGTAAACGAGGAATTCTGAGTTAGACCAGTGCTCTGAAGATGAAGGACACGGCCGCTCCTGAAGCCAAACCCAGGGAGAGGAAGAAAGCCATGATGGCTCCAGCCGTTTCTGCTTCATGAGGAAGAACTTTCCTACAAAATAACAGACATCTGTTAGAGAAGATCTATCCACCATACTTTATGTTTTTATGAAACTGCGCATCAATCTGAAAAATACTCATTTAAACCTCTCTGTGGGTGAACTGGGACACCAGTGTGTGTTCTACCCTTTGGTAGGTTCTTACTTTGGTCCATAGCACATGCACAGACTGGCCAGGTATCCATTACTGAAGGCAAACAGGATCATGAATACGATGAAGAAAGCATCATGATGGAAAAAGACAGGGAGCTGGAGACGTGGCTGGACGTTGCACAACATGAAGAGAGGAACGAAGACGACACGGGTCACTATGGACATCGGAAGTATGAGGCTGTCTTTGTCTGGCTGAAAGGAAAACCCAACAAGGACTGGTTAGAGCCCAGTGAGTGCCATCAAAATGGATCATGGTGTTGTTTGTTATGGTGTATAACTGATCTGAAACCCACCCACATGCAGAATGCTGTTAGGCTCCGCCCACTCCAATCACACAGGTTAAAGAGCAGGAAGCAGCAGACTGGGATAAAATACAGCTCTGGGATTCAAACATATAAAAAAATCTATCATCTCCAGTGCAAGTGTGACCTCAGAGCACCACAGAAGAAGAAATGCTCAGCATGAGTTGACTGACCCCAGGAACCCCCTTTGGT